ATGATAATAATGATAATAATGATGATAATAATGATAATGATAATAATAATAATGATAATAATAATGATAATGATGATAATGATGATAATAATAATGATAATAATAATGATAATGATAATAATGATCATAATAATGATAATAATGATAATGATAATAATAATAATAATGATAATAATAATGATGATAATAATAATGATAATAATAATGATAATAATGATAATAATGATGATAATAATGATGATAATAATGATGATAATAATGATGATAATGATGATAATAATGATAATAATGATGATAATAATGATGATAATAATGATAATAATGATGATGATGATCTCACATAAACGTGTTTATTTGTCAGCATGATGGACGCTGTCTGCAGAGTCTCACACTAACAACAACCTTTGTGTGTTTGTCTGCAGACTCGAACATGTAACCACACAAGTCCTGGGTGAGTAAACTCCTCTGACTCCTGTTAGTAAAATATTCTGACTCCTCAAGTTCAAGTAAAGTTTGTCATTCACATCACATGTGGTACATGAGGTGGAACAAAACTGTACACAGGGTCCCAGTTACATCCAACAATAGTAAAAACATAAAATGTAAAAAGAAACGATCTAATATATATTTTAACATTTTAGCAACTTTAGTTCACCATTAAATCTCTGATGAACAAGATTCTGCAAAAACGTACATTTAATATTTTATGTTTTCCTCATCATTTGATGTATTTACACTCATTGTGTCTACTTTTATAGTTCAGGTTACATATGTGGTTTGTTTCTTGTTCACAGATTATTTTATTTTAGTGATTTAAAGTTTAATTCTTGTTGTGTGAGTTGTACATGTGTGCGTTAGAATAAAGTTGAACTAAAGGCCGTGTCTCTTTAAACATGTTTGAGGGAAATGTTCCTGAGATCCAATAATTTTGTGTCTTTATGATTTTTCAGCTATAACAGATTATTTAATAAAGTCAATAAAGTTAAAACAGGATTTCATGATAAAGGCAGCACCATTTATTTTATTTTATTATTTTTTTTTATCTTCAATGATAAAAAAAAAAACCACTTTTTTTTTTGTTGTTTCCACCCTCCGTCCCAGACCCATCCCGGTCTGCCGGGATCAGGGTTCGGCCTTCATGATCACTCGAGGCTGGGGTCCGGGCAACGGCCTTCTGTGAGTCAGCAGCTCGTATGATCCTCCATGGTGACCAGCGGAGCTCAGAGCTCGAGCCCCGAATCGGCACCACGGAGGATCTTCCACGGTGACCAGCGGAGCTCAGAGCCAGGGAGATGATGCCCTGCACAGCCTGAGGGGGCTCCGAGGCTCCGGTGGAGAGGACCGGGGGGGGGAGTCAGGGACCGGCAAAGCTCCAACTAGCTTGCTCTGAATTTTATCGTTGGCCACCAAGCACAAAAAACACCTGCACTTCAGCATTAGACCGCAACGGTGTTGTCATTATTGTTTTAAAATCTTAAAAATAGTTCCAGTCGCTCCTCGAGTTCGAACACCGATAATTGCAAATGGCGGATCAAGTGTTTAGAAAACCTCTCAACCCCCTCTAGTGACTTTGCCCCCTGACCAATCAGTGACTGACCGTGTTCTGACGTCACGTTTTGGTGCGGGCTCGGCTTCATTGGTACCTTTGAGAAGAAGGGACTAAAAAGTGCCGATTCCGATTTTGGCCGATACTGATTTGTTTTCTAAGCGACACTGTCAGGTGTTATAAGGTCAAAATGCACCTTCAATTTTCCAATATTATTTGATTGAAAAACATACCATTGAACAATATCTTAGAAACAATACAAACTGGTTTTAACTGGCCATGAGGTAGTGCTCTGAAATATTAATGAAGTTTAGACAATTGTTAAAAACTACAAAAAAAATAGGTAAAATTGGTTTCTTATGCAAATATCGGTCGATTAAGGAAATCGGGGCCCCTATTCAAAACTTTATTGAACTGAGTCGAGTCGTGCTGAAGAGGAGCCCATAACTGGGCCTTCCTGAAAGTAGAGAAGAAACCCAAACAGGACTCCAGCCAGCCATCAAGTTAAAAGGAGGAACCCAGACCAGTGGTCATTCTGTATGTTGCAGGAGTTTCAGAGAAATTGAGACATTTATTTTCTAAACGCGACGTCCCAGTGGATCCAAAAAAAGGTTAAAAACAAAACAACTGGAATTTATTTGTAACTGAAGACGTTTCGCTTCTCATTTGAGGAGTTTTCTCAATTCAAAGAAACAAGGAGTGTGGGATTCAAGTTATATAGCTGTGGTGTTCTGTAAGCATGCATAATGCAGATTGACCTCTCACTCCTCACAATAGAGGATCGTTAGGGTCTTTGTTAGTCCCACCCACAGAGGGGCCACGCTGGTCACATGGTTGAAATTCCTGATTGGTATGAAAATGGCTGGATATCAGTCCTAAAGCTGCATTGTAGGTTTTTGAAAGCTGAAATCCATGATCTCAGAAGTCACATCTCATCTAATCCACATGGACAAGGCCCACATCATGAGTGCACTGCTGCCCTGCTCCACCCAGGACCCTGATTTGTGACCACCATGAAGATAAACCAACCCATCCACAACTAGTCCTTTTATCACAGACGACATGGAGTGGTCCATAAAATGAACTTCCATTTTCTAGTCGATGTTTTTGACATCATCTTTAGGAAAAATAAATGTTGCATCAACTTTCAGATCCGATCCTTTCAGTTAACATTTAACATGGAATCTTACGGGATAACTTAATGTCTTTTTTTATTTTTCAGAGTGACGCCCGAGGTTTTGTCTTCAGCTTCAACATCTCACCTTCAATCAGCAGCTTTCCAGCATGAATTCTTTTAATGATTTTATTGTTTAAATCTTTATAACATAACATCCAGGTGACAGGAAGTTTTCAAGAAGGTTTTTTTTTGTAGCTATATGCAGGAAAGCTAATACCTTCTATTTTAAAGAAATCTAATCAGTTAATCAGTTTTCTGTGCAAAATTCAGCAATAGTTGTAATATTTTCCATATGCAGTCTTTTTATTTGAATTTGTAACTTTGTTTCATGGATTGTTTATATCTAATCGATTTACTGGGGAATACCGCTGTACATTTTCTGATGTCATACACAAATAAAATACCTATTGGTAATGCCTCTTTATTTATTACTAAACAACCTTTCACAAATTCAGCTTTATAAAAAAATTGTGTTTTGGCATTTCGATATGAATGTCAATGGAATTTATTGAAAATACAGAATAAACTTTTTTTATGTTGCTGGTCCATAAAGCATGTTCAACTGTTAGCCTTCAACCGGGATTATTGCGCATGAGTCAGGATGGTAGCCTCGAGTTTATGGAAACAAATATTTATTTTCCAACAGGTGAGGTTGTTAAAGCTCTGTTACCATGGTAACAGACATATTTTTCTTTTGGCTTTTCCCTCTTCAGGGATCTCCACAGTGAGTCCTCCTCCATTTCTCTCTGTCCTCTGTGTCCTCTGTCTCTCTATCTGCATCCATATGTCTTCTCTCTGTCTTTTTCCTACAGCTGCATTTCTAACATCCTTCTACCAATATACCCACTGTGCCTCCTCTGGACATGTCCAAACCACTGTCCCTCCTCTGGACATGTCCAAACAACTGTCCCTCCTCTGGACATGTCCAAACCACTGTGCCTCCTCTGGACATGTCCAAACCATCTCAGTGTGTCCTCTCTAACTTTTATCTCCCAGTTGTTCAACCTGTGCTGTACCTCTGATGATCTCATTCCTGATCTTCTCCATCCTTGTCTCTCCTAAGGAGAACCTCAACATCTTCATTTCTGACACTTCCAGTTCTGTCTCCTGTCTTTTTGTCCATGTCTCTGTCTCCAGACCATACAACATAGTTGGTCTCACCACTGTCTTGTAAACTTTTCCTTTGACCTTTGCTGACACCCTTTTGTCACAAATCACTCCTGAAACTTTTCTCCATCCACTCCATCCTGCCTGGACTCTCTTCTTCACCTCTTCACCACACTCCCCATGTTCCTGGACAGTGGACCCCAAGTCCTTGAAGTCCTGCACCTTTGTGACCTCTGCTCCTTGTAGCCTCACTGTTCCACCTCCTCCCTCTCATTCTCATGGCTGGGCTCTGGTTCAGTTCTGGGAGTAGACCTGCAGTCTGACAGAGGTGTCTGAGCAGAGGATGCTGAGGAACCTGCTCCAGATCCTGAACAACACATCACACCCCCTGCATGACACCCTGGACTCTTACAGCACATTCAGTCGTAGGCTGAGACTACCAAGGTGCTCCACAGAACAGGAAGTCCTTCCTCCCTGTGGCTATCAAACTTCAACTCATCCCCTTTCTACACATAGCACAATAAAATGAGTCCTGTACTACAATAAACTAATGTTTCTGTCTGCACCTGTTTAGAACTTAATTGTTGGCATTTTTTAATATTCTCTGTTGTCTTTATTAGGCTCGAGCAGCGAAGCGCTGTGAAGGCCAATTGTAATCGCTCAGTTCATTAGGCCTGAGCAATTTTTCTGTCAAATGAATTGGCCTTTTGGGGGCCTTAACATATCCCAAAACTCACTGATTTTGGTGGACGCATCAGGACTGGTGAAAAATAATGTGTTTTAATGGCGTCGCAAAAATTGCAACAGAAACGGATCAAGAGCGCTACCTGGAAGTTTTCAAAATACCCTCCGCCTTAACCTTAGTTTGTCGGAGAAGCATGACATTTGGTACACTTGTCCAATTCCCCAAAATGCACAAAAAAAACCCTCTGGCACCAACATTGTACGATAAACCGGAAGGCGGCCATTTGGGAATGCCTTCGCAATTTTCACACCTTTTTGGCGGTTTACAGCTTCCGCATTTGAATGAACTCCTAGGGAATTCACTCAATCGGTTTCAAAATTGGCCATTTTGGTCAAAAAGCATGGGGGACGCAAAGTTATCTAAACGGTGTGTTTTGGAGCATGCTGAAAGGGTGGGGCCAGACCTCAAAGTTTGACATCTTGCCATGAAAAAAGAAATGCTAATAGCTCCTACATGAAAACTGTCTGAGACATCAAACCTTCAGTGATTGATCCACATCCGGTCCCCTGCAAGACTGAAAGGTCAAATTATGACATCACTTAAGCCACGCCCCCTGACAACAGGAAGTGTAAAGTTTTAACAGTCCCTATTTGATCCTGTGATCTAATCCACATGATAGTGTGTCCAGTGACCGAAGACATGTTGGTGTAACTTGCTTTCCAGCACTGACAGTTTTGGGTGGAGCATGTGGGCGTCGCAACATGGTGAAGTAAGAAGTAACGCCGTCACCATACGTTTGGCTCTAAATTGCACCGATTTTTGCCGAGGGTCACCAAAATCACTATGATCAAACAATATGATAAGTGGCCGATAGCCTCCAGAGGCGCCCCCTAGAATATTTGAAAACTGCAGCCCCAAGCCATTTTTGGACTGATAATTCTGAAACTCGGTGTACATATGCATCTTCTCAGGACCTATGAAAAAGTTTCTTGGAGCCATGGTCCAAACTCAACTGGAAGACGGCCATTTTGGGTCAAAGGGTCATTTTTGGGCATTTCTAATTGCGAATTTTAACCAACTCCTCCTAGGGATTTTGAATTGCCTTCAAATTGCCTTCAAATTGATTGCCTTCAAACTTGGTTGATATGCCCTTAAGACATTGGAGAGTAAAAGTTATCTAAAGCTTGCGTTTTTGTTTTTGTTAAAGGGGCATGGCCAGGCCACAAACTTGCAATTCACGCAATAAATTTCCAAACGCTATAACTTTCACAACGAAAGATTGAATTGCACCAAACCTGGCATGAGTCATCCCGTTGGATGCCCGACGATCCACTGTTGTCATATTCTGAGGTTGTCAAAGCCCCGTCCCCTCAGAACAGGAAGTCACTTTTTTTTACTTGGAATGATCCCTGTCTGACACCCTTGACCTAATCAGGATGATCCTATGTTAGAAGATATTTAAGAAGTTGGTCTGACTTGCTTTAAAGCGCTAACCGTTTTTGCTGGAGGATGTGGCGGCGTGGCGAATTAAGAAGTTACGCTGTTGCAATACGTTTGGCTCTAAATTGCACAGATTTGAGCCAAGGTGTACCAAAATCACTATGATCGATCATTATCCACCCCTTGAACAGGTATGGCCAATAGCCTCCACAGTGCCACCTACATTATTCAAACTGTTATATCTCTGTGATACATCATCTGATCTGAACCAGATTTTTGGTGTGTCAGTGAGAACTTCAACACACATTGATATTGTAATTTAACATATAACTCGAGTGCGCTCCCTAGATCATTCCAACAGTTGTACCTCAGTGATATTTCATCCGATATGTACCATATTTCTTGTGCGTTATCAGTGAGCACTTCAACACACAGTGGTATTGATGTTTAACATTTCACTCAAGTGCACCCCCTACATTATTCCAAAAGTTATATCTCAGTAATGCATCATACAATCAGCACCAGATTTTTTGTGCATCATCAGTGAACTTTTCTAGACACATTGATATTGCTGTTTACCTTTTCATTCCAGTGCTCCCCTACAATATTCAAACCCTTATATCTCAGTGACGCATCGTCTGATCTGCACAAGATTTAATGTGCATGATCAGTGAGCACATCTAGACACATTTGTGTTGTTAAACATTTCACTCCAGTGTGCCCCCTAGATTATTCCAACAGTTAAATATCAGTGATACATCATCTGATCTAGAGCAGATTTTTTGTACTTCATCATTGAACACTTGTACACACATTGGTATTGTTGATTCATAACTTGACTTAAGCCTGGCCCACTCAGAAAAGAAACTGATGATTATTGGGTGTCTTTTCCAACTTGGCATTGTGTAAGATATAAGACAAACCGTATTCGCTAACTGTTGGTTACCACATAAGGCATGTTGAAAAGCTTATAGGAAATCCTTTACATTCGCATCAAGTCAATTTTATTTATAGAGCGCATTTAAAAACAGAACCTGTTATCAAAGTGCTCAACAACAACAACAACAACAACAACGAGAGTCAAATTAAAGAGGAAAAAAATACAATACACTAATAATAATAACTGAAGAATAAAAAGCATTTAAAACATGGGGTCAAAGATAAAAAAAACACTGGATCAATTTACACTGTATGAAATGCCTGAGAGAACAGATGTGTTTTTAGCAGGGATTTAAAGTGAGGAAGGGAGGGGGCCTGCCTGATGTTGGGGGGGCAGGTTGAAGGGAGGGGGCCTGCCT